GAATGGATAACGCAGTGGTTGTTCTCGTACCTGTCGGACAGAACCGGTTGTGTTGTAGTGAATGCGGCACAATCCCAGCCGTTCAACATCACGTCTGGTGTACCCCAAAAAGGGTTCTTGGGCCGCTGATCTTCAATATCTTCGTAAATGACTTGTGTATGCTGCTCTCTTCTTTTAACCTTTCTTTTGCCGATGACTTGAAGATTTATCGTGTCTTCACTTCTTCAGAAGACTGCATGGCGTTGCAAGAGGACATAAACGTTATGCTCGTTTGGTGTAGCGATAATGGAATGCGCGTGAACAGGGACAAATGCAAAGTTATTTCGTTTACGCGACGCACCAGGCCCATTGTCCATCAATTTAAAATGGAATCCGTCATACTGGAGCGAGTTCTATCGATTTGTGATCTGGGCGTTACTATTGACTCAAAATTGAAGTTTAACGAACATGTAGCTATTATAAGCGCCAAAGCATTTTCTGCACTCGGATTTATTCGTCGACATGCTTCAGATTTTACTGATGTGTACGCCATCAAAACGTTATATTGTTCGTTAATGCGAAGTATCCTGGAGTATGCTGCTCCTGTATGGACACCATTCTACGCGACGCAGATCTTAGTAATTGAGCGTGTGCAGAGGAAATTCATACGATTCGCTCTACGCCAGCTTCCCTGGAGTGACCCAGTAAATCTTCCTTCTTACCCCGACCGATGCCGATTGATCAACTTAGAAAGTCTGTCATCGAGGCGAATTAAAATGCAGCGTATGTTCGTGTTTGATGTCATCACAGAAGGTATTGACTGTCCTGCACTTCTTGAGCAGATACCGATCAACATTCCTCCACGTCGCTTCCGAAGTTCACCTCTACTGGCAATTCCGTACCACAGGACGAACTATGGGCATCACAATCCACTTGATTCGTGTCTCCGGGCTTTTAATGAAGTTGACGACAAATTCGATTTTAACATGTCCAAAACTGTATTTTCACATAGGATTAGGAATTAAGTCTAGAATATAGTATTAAGTAGTTCAGTCTGTGCGACTTAGTCCAAGGCGGTGATCGTAAATAAAAAAAAAGTCATAGAAACGTGAACTCTGTTCTGAAAAAGCATGATCTTGTTCTGGTAAACGTGATTAAAGTTCATGAGATGTGCTTAATATTGTGACCCTGTTCTTGAAAACGAGAAAATGGTTCATGGACTGTAAAACGCCAACATTAAAATAATTTTCAATGTTTTGATTTGTACAGCATGAAACTGGAAGGAAACGGTAGACTTGGCTGGAGCAACCGAACAATGCAGGTTTCACCCATATCCCAAATTGGCAGCACGAATCTGTCCAGCAGATGGAATGGACACACTTTCAGCTCATCAATTCAACGGATCTTCGGTCCCCATGAACGCAGCGACCTCCTACTTCATCATCATCATAACAAGCGTACTAATTCAAGCACTCAGTAGAGATAAGTTTGACAACAACCTGAAAATACAGCTACAGCTTTGCATGTTATCCAAGTTCACGATTGCAGGAACGAAAATAACAATTATGGGTTCGTGGTATCGCGAAATCATGATTATATTTTGTATTTTGCTTAGCGTTACGAAATCGCCATCGCTTATAAGCTAGCCAAACCATAATTTGCATCACCACTAATACACTTTTCGACAATCTTCAACTGGAACGTACTCACCAAATCATTACACCCGGGAGCGCATTCCCAATGCTTCGACGCATATTTTTCTCTATACATTTTTAAGCAATTCCTCCTCCAGCGATTCCAACCTTATTGTGTGGCTAAATATCACTTTTCTTCGCTTTTCTTTTTCAAGTCACTCTGTGCACAAAAGCAATGCACATCGCAAAAACCTAACAATAGATCAGCGCGGTCGAGTCACACCGGCAACAAAGGGAAGCGAACAAGTTGGAAAATGGATGGAGCACGTTCAATTACATACAAAACTGCTGAAGCAACATAAGTATGCCAATGATAATTCACCGCCAAGGGAGAGCACGTTCGGGCACCGGATCAGATTAGTTTTGGTAATTCAAATGAATTTAAATTATTCACTATGTTAAACCTTGTCGAGTTTTAATTAACAACAGTTGAGCCTTACAAATAAATTAAATGGATAAAATGGTAGATGAATCGGTGGGAGGGCCCTCCATCGGCTATCGGTTGTCCCACAGCTAGTTCTAACGGAATCTCTCATCCAAACTTAAAAATACCCTGGAGGATCGACTGCTTGGGGCAGACGTCACTTGATTGTGAACATGAACGCTTTACATAGTTCTGCACTGGTTGCATCTAGCCAACTCACCACGATGGCGTAGGGGATTAAAAACCGTGTAGTTGGTTTGCTGTCCGATGGGAAGTCAGACTCCCAAGATGGCGTGATAGTAGCGTGCTTTTCTATCCGAGACAAAGTCACACTCCCAAGATGGCACACTGTGACGTCATGTGGCTTCTGACAATCGGCAGGAGAGATAGCTGTGGATGAAAACCTATCCTCCGGGATTTGACAAAAACCGTAAAAGAAAAGACAATCGAAAGAAATAAGAAGAAGTGTAAATAGAAGATTACCCAAATTTGCTCCCGACGGTGACCGAGGTGATTTTAATTCGAGGTGATCAGTATGAAGAATAAATGAAAAAAAAAAATGCGTGCGAGAGATGAAGAGCGCGATTGCCGGAAAGGTTCATCCCCTTGAAGATAAAGAAGAAAAATAAGAAGAAGTAGAAAACTAAAAGAACATACATGCAGCGTTGATATCGTGTTGGGTTTCATAATTTATCTATTTAAGAAACTATGGTTGTCTTTTTCGAACAGAGGTAAGTAGGTCAGAAAAAGAGTAAGTTATTAGAGAAGGTAATACATATAATATACACATATAAATAAGTGAATTTTGTTACAAACCATAAACAATGAACCATCGGCTAACGCGATCGAGCCTTCCAAATAAACGAACTAGAAAAAAAAACTTTCTAGTTCGTTTATTTCGATTTTTCGCATAGAAAATAAATTAGCCGTCACTATTTTTACCTGCGATATCTGTTGCAAAAATCAATCATTAATTAATTTGGAAATCGTTAGCTTATTATACATACGATATTTCTTTGATTGTTGTAATACATGATATACGAATGATCTATTACTCTACGTCCAGTACGCGTGGACCGATTACTTGCGGTTGACTCGAGCTTAGAAAGAGTAACATTTTTTAGAGAAGGTTCAGGGGGAGCAACATGGAAATGGAAACTGACAGCTTACTTCAATCCATTGCAATCTTCCCACGACATTAATTAGCTTATTCTATATAGGGGGAATGGCCCTAATTTTGACCTAAATGCCCCTAATTTAGGCCCATACATAAATTCAGTAATGGACTAAATTTTCAATAGCGACCAAAAATATCCATTAGTACAGTCCCAACGACGCGTTCATCTAGATAAAATGAATAAATATCAGATTTTTAGCGGCGGGCCCAATTTAGATCCATAGGCCACCATTAGAGCCATTTCCCCTATATACACAAACAATTATGTCCTCCTATTGTACATAAGTTCATACCCGGACACGTTCCGAATGTCCTCGGGAAGCAATAAAATTCTATTATTTGTCGTAATTTCAGAGCTTACACCATTTTTGCATACATTTAGGTACTGTGTGGCAAAGACAATAATACGCCATGTCGCCATGCTTAGGGAAGTAGAACAAATGTTCTGCTTCCGGCATTGCAAGCGAGGTAAAAAACGTAATGCCTATATGGGATAATGTCCAAACTGGTTCACTTTTCATAACTGGCACACCTACCCTAGATAGCTGTGTGAAATAAAAATCGTGAATTTCCTTTTGAAGCAAATTAAATAGGGGAAATGACGGCTTTGGCATGCCAGACTATTTTCGGCAACCCAAATTGAAACACTATTTTCACTGGATTTTCTTACGAAAACACTTCGCTGAATGCATGCAAACGATTCTTTATGCTTTCAGCTTCAATTTGTCTATATTTTTACCACTGAGAAAAAGCAATCTAGCAAGGTTTTCTTGAAATGAAGCACACGCACTATAAATTGTAGCTGATTTCGAGTTGCCGATAATAGAACAGCAGATTTACATGCAGTTCAAATGGAACGGTTACCGAAGAAAAACTGGTTGCCGACAATACTCGCTCTCGCTAGAGAAGATTGGAGCTTTGTAAAACCGTTTCAAAACAGTTTTTGACAATTCTTTCGACTGAAATTGTTAGAGCAGCTGGCAGCAAAAGATTGTAAACCAACCAATACTGCATATGTGTGCGTTCCTTAGAGAAAAAGGCTATAGAAAGAAGGTCGCTGCTTAGATTGCCGAGAATACGTAAATTCCCCTAACAGTTAACTACTGGCAGAAGGAAGTATTCTAACTGGCTGCTAAACCCCTTGATTTATGTTATGCTTAGAGCTTTCGGAACACATCTTACTTAACCCTACCAAGATAGCATTAAAACATGTGCTATAGGCATTAGTAACATTGAAAAAGATGAGCCCAAAGAAAATAAGGGAAACTCAAATTGAATGCTTGTACAGGAATCTCTCGAAGAGCGCGAAGGGTGGTTCAATGATGCCTGTCATCTAGCCAATAGACCTGATTTTTTGTACCTAACTAGTTTATGGTTGACACCAATCACTTACACATAATCAGCCTAATTGGTCGGTGGACCGACGGAAGTCCACCCACCGAGCACTTCACAGAATTCCTGTGTATATTTGTGTTTCTAATTGATGCAAGTGTCAGTGAATAAAGATACAATCCGTTTATCACCCCTATCGCAAATCATCACCTAGACAATAAAACGACGGGCCACCACCACCAACTACAATTATTATTTAGCACATCACGAAAGAACAACCACTCGTAGTCGCCATCGTCAGTGAAGTCCACAATGCAAGTTTACATACTCGCGCAATCAGCCGGCAGCTGATGAATTAATTTCTCGACACCGGACTATGAGTGCTCAACAAACTTTTACACACGTTCAAGCCTTTTTCCTGACTCGTGCCACCGGGAGGACTGCAGTTCGCTTCGAAGCTTGTACGAGTTCACATCTTCATCTCAAAGTAGATCGGGAATGGTGGAGCTATTTTTAGTAAACCATTTTTTAAACTTACGTGATTGAATCGATTAACGACGCTTCCTGATTCAGCAATCCATAAGATGGAGATGGTAGAAAATAATACAGTGGTAAAATAGTTTAAACTAACTATGGAAAACCGTTACTAATAATTGCCGACCATTGTAACCATATTGTTACAGAATGTGGAACTGAATGGTTTGCCCAAATCGGATAAATCACCTCAGAAAAGAGGCGCGGATATCAACTATGGGATCGACGATGCGCCACCATGGTACCTCAGCATCTTTATGGCTCTACAGGTATGGAAAAGTTTCTAACTGCTCAAATGTTTTATTGTATTTTGTGGGTGATTATTAGGATCATATAATATATTACTCTGGAAGTGATAGCAACGAACGCGTAACGAAGTATGTAAGAGTACTCAAGTGTTATACTGCACACGTTTAAACAATCTTACTCGCGTAGCTGTGTTTTTTTAATTCTCAATTTGGCCAGATATCGGTTCAAAATGTTTTTTTTTCTCGAAAAACCCGTATAAGCGAGGCGAACTGTTTTCTTCAGTAATCTATCCTTTCTATGTATATTGTCGTAAGGGTGCATCTTCATCACCAATGGTAGATTCAAATGTATGTACCGAGAAGTTCCTTGATTCCGCGCAACGTCTAACTCCTTGCATTTTCCCAAAAGTGTGTAGTGTGTTGTGATATTGCGGTTTTGCCGAATGCCATTCAGCCGAATGCCATTTAGCCGAATGCCATTTGGCCGAATGGGTTGTTTGGCCGTATGCCGTTTAGCATAAACCCAAAGAACTGTTCATGTTTGAAAAAAGGAAAAATCGCCCCTGATTTGTCTTAATTTTATGACAAGCTGCGTTTACTGTGCAAAAAATAATAAGATCATCAAAACTCCAAAGAACTGCTTATGTTCAAAAGGGTGGCTAAAAAAGTACCAATTACATAAGTAATAGCTTATCTTTAAAAGAATAAAGAATCCATCGACAATATAAATTTTCAGTTTTATACAAAAAACAATTTAACAAAAAATCCCACATTTATAATATCAAAAAATCAGAATTGTGGAAAGTTAAAAAAAAGACCACAGGGTTGCCATTTACGAATCTAGTAATGTTCAAAAATTTAAAATCTCTTTTCAAGTATTCAGCAAAATGGCCGGTTACTAATAATACATATCTACCTAAATCTTCAGCTCAATTAAAAAAATCCAAATTACACATTACAGTATAAATCCGATTTTGGCCCGGTCTGGTTTTGGAATGTTCCGGTTTTGGCATCAAAAAGGGTCCGATTTTCACAGTACGATTAATGATGAGCAATACGCACTTACACAAAATTCTATGTTATTACTTATTAGTAAGTTAAAAAGTATATTTAATAATTTCACGTTGAAATGTTTATATTTTAGGGATATAAATTCATATTGTAATTATTGTTTACCATTTATTGCGCAATGCGCAAATTATAAGTGGGACGAAAAGTGCGGAAACGCTAATAAAAAATACGCTGAAGCGCTGAATAGCGGATTGAAAATAACGGTGCTTTAAAATCTCCACTTTATGCGCTTAAACCATGAACTCGTGTTCAGGACATTTAGACTTCTTTTGGCTGGGGCAATTAGAAGAATATATGATAAATTATTCTAATTACTATATTAAATATTATCTGATCTACAGACATGTTCAATGGAGAATTTTGGTATAATGACTGGAAAAAAAACATGCATTTCGAGTAGAGATGAAGACAAATTTTCTATCATCACATGATATTTTTTTCAAGTTTTGAATCCTGAAAATTTCATGGTATCGAAACTCTGAAACCCTATAAATAAATATCAACTAAAAAAATTTTGTTTTTCGACAAAATTTTCCTTGGAACTCTGATTGAAATTCCAAAATTGTGTGATTTAGGAAATTGTATTGTGATATCGGACTTAAGATATATCAATTCAATTTCCCAAATCATACAATTTTGTGATTCCTTTCAGGCTTTCAAGGAAATTCTTATACACGAAATCCCAACTATCCTTCCATGTCATCTTAAAAATATGTCCCATTATATACAATTTCTGAACTAAAAATCTCTAACTTAAACATCTAGAATTTCGTTATTATGACATCAACTAAGCATGGGATCTTGAAAATTTGCTGAAGATCTTCAAAACCTCTACCTCTACACAAGATCCTGGAAGATTATTCAAAGTCTGGGAGCTTGAAGTCTCCCAAAATTGTATAAATTGTTGCTTAGATTTTGCTACTTTTTGCATGTCTATTTTCTTTTTTTTTTTTTTTGAAATCTGGGATCATAAACTTAATTTAAAGTCCAAGACATTAACAATTGATCAAAGTTCGAGATTATGTATTGTTGTTTATTTTAATAATTTTTATCTCGGAGTTACATTTTAATGAAAACTAATCTAGATTTTTCCACTGTAGAAACACCCTAAATTTTCAAACAATTAAATTTTTGTGATTAGTGCCTTTCAAAAGTAAATATAAAAAATATCTATTAAAATTATCTTCAGAAATGCAGTATCCGTTCGATTTGTGCAACACAACCTCATTGTCTTTAATTTGCTTATGCTCAGCAATTTAAAATCTTAACCCCTGTTTGAAAAATTGCTTAGTATGTCAGTAGAAATGTGAAGCTTTGGGTGTGACTAATTAAAATTTACGAAAAGCCAAGAAGTCAAAATCGTATTTGGCGAAAATCTAACGGTCACTGTAATATTTTAGCATATTATTAAAGTTTAAAATATTAAGAATATATTGCGAAATGTGCAAAACTCTACAGCATTTTTTTATTTCTCTATCAAGTATTATCTTTAACATTTTCCAGGAACATATTTGTTAGAAGTCTGAGTTGGAGTCGGATTCAGAATACTTTTTCAGGATAAGTAATAATCAAGAATGAACACCAACATTTATAAATACTTGGATTAAGGCTCAATCGTTCATGAAAATACCTCTAAGGAACCTAAGAGTAGGGTACAGTAGGGTGCAATTACCTATGTGTTATTGAACTCTGCGTTAAAGATAAATCCCAAGTATCCCAGGTATTCTAGTTATGGTAAAAATTATATTCTGTGCCTCTGTGGTTTCGTTTGAATTTCTCAAAATGATTTATTTTGTTGACTCCTCTTTAGGTTGAGGTAAGCATTACTTATATGATAGGAAAACGATAATTAGCATTTAGCGAATAAGCGTTAAGCCGCTGCCATTCCTTTCCGGTAACGAAGTGGTTCCTGTGACGTGACATTCAGATATAGTGGTGTCGTGGGTGAAATAGACCAAGGAAGGTACAAGTCGTTCGTAGCCTATTGTATTAGAGAGATCATCAGCATCACGTATCCAGAAGATTGGTGTTAGGCAAGCAAGAAGGACAATCCAGTAGATAATTTAATGAAGTGGTGTAAAGGAACGGAGGATCAAGTCGGAAAGCCGATGGTGCCAAGGACCTGAGTTCGTGTATCGAGGAGTAAAAGAGCTCCAGGCGATTGTGATGCTCCATCACATAATCTTACCTGGAGAGTTCATGGAGAGGTTACCACATATATCGCGTTGGCCACTGATGGTCTTTATTATCGTGATTTAAGACAGTGATACTGCGGATAGTAGCTACGGTGATCCGCTTCGTTTCCAATAGCTGTAGACATTTCAAGAAGTTACCGGCCAAGCAAGCAGGAAGCAGGGCGTTTGCAGCCGTCGTTGTGCCCTTACGACAGGATGAATATCTGGCAGCGGATACCCTTTTGTGGAAGGCCTTGAACCGGATGGGTTTGCCGACGAAGTGAATACCATGCTGAAGAAAAAAGCTTCAACAGGGTGTTGCATCCAGAGTTCCAACCTATCACAATTACGATCTTCAAACAGCTGATGGTAGTAACGCTTGGTACATTCCTATCGATGTACTTGTCGAATTATTTCATACAAGTACAGCTATCTGTTTTTTTTTCATAGTGATTCCAACAGAAAGCTTCTTACCAAACAAGTTCAAATTTTGGGAGGCTAATTAGGACCAGGCTTAAAACCGTTTAAGCACTGGGGAGCAAAAGTTTCAAATTTTTCATCAGTCTAATACCCATCTTTGTATGAAGGGTAAAACAAACCGTGACAGCCTAAGCAAAACTAACCACCTCATAGCCTTTGTGGGCTTTGCCAGTCACAGTTCCAAACACAGTACTGCGCTACCCTGAAGTATCATCATCATCATAACAAAAACAATGCCAAATTTCGAAAGCTCATCTAAACATCTTCAAATTCTATTCTGTTTTCTAATCCAAAAATATAGCTCATATTTTTTAAACTTTGTCAACTGCTCACTATGCAATATTGTGCATTATTATGCCTCAAATGCCATTTTAAACTAAAAAGAACCTATTCCTACAAATCACGTTTCAGATGATTGGCTATAACCGCGCATGTGGTTAGTGAAATAATGAGTTGATTGTTCTTAACTTGGTTGTGATTCTAAGCAGATGACTCGCGCTGCATTTATCAAGAGTAAAGTGAACGTATTATATCACATGGTGTGATCAAACCTAGTAATTTAATAAGATTTTATCGATGAGGGGTTTTTCGTTATCGGCTGTTGCATCAAATTATTAAAAACAAAAATCACTTTAAAAAATCACATTTCTAGTTTTGTATAACTGTGGCGGTAACAGATAGTACTTACTTCTCGCTTACTTAACACAACAGATGGAAAAAACATAGAAACTGAGAGCAAGGGGAGCGCATGCGTTTCGGAGAGGACATGGCAGAGATAAAGCACACGCGAGAATTAAACAATATCGGTAATAATGAGCAATCGCGAAATTTACATTATATACTTATTTGCAGTCATATAGATAAGTTTATTTAACTTGAAGCTGAGCGTTAGTGACTGACCATTAATCATTGATTAATCACTAATCATGACCATGCTTTATATACCCTGATTCAAAGTAGTGATTCCAAAAAACCCAATCTGCGAATTTCGTACTTTTGTAATCGTAATCGGGTGACTGATAATTCGTGTTACAGGTAGACCACATCTGTAGCAATAAATGTTATGGCAAGGTAGATCGAAAAATCATTCAAGCATTTCTAGAAAAAAAAATTGTTGAGTTTATCTAGTATTAGGAAAATATGGGTGATTAGCTACCATCTCCATTAAAAAACAGTTTTGACAAAAGCTCAAATGGAACCAACTTACGATGAGCGACAGTATAGGTGTGTACACACTTAAAAATTACTATTTTTACACGTGACGTAATTCATATTTAACGTAAATCAAACTTGTCA